AAAATGAGATATTGACACACTGCCACTTTTCAGATAATAGAAAATGCTATGGTACAGATTAGCACATCTCAATTTAGTAGTGAGATTAGTGATATTTTAAAGAAGTTTAAAACATTAGAACCTACTTAACTTTGATGATGACTAGATTTAGGAAATGTGAGAACTGAGCGATGGTCTTAATTTGTATAAAAATAACAAATTATGAATTTTTTTATAACAATGAAGTATCATTAAGGAATTATTTCAAGAGCATATAAACATTATATTTAGATTATTTACATGGAAATCTGTAGTACATTCCATGTCATTTTGAAATTTTTCTCAAGGAGAGAAATATTGAGGAAAAGAAGGGCAGATTTCTGCTGTTTCAAGGAATGCTTCTGTACTTCCTTACTTTTATAATATTACTCATTACACATTATATATGTGATCTTGCTACTGAATGTAATTAAATGGGAAAAAGCTGTAGCCAAAAAAACAAATAATTTTATTAAAACTTGAAGCACTGCTTTTGATTTTTGTACCAACAATTTTAGTGCTCCATATGTTTGTGAATTCTTATTAGTGAAAAGATTTTTACTGAGAATACGATTACCAAGTTTTCTCCTTACCAAGATATCTATCCCCCTTAAATTTAAGTGCCATTATTTTGTCTCATACTTTTGTTACATAAAACAGATAAAAAGTAAATGACTTTGGTATAGACTATCTTTTGATATTTGATGCATCTGTAATGCCAATACATACTCAATTTCAAATATTGCTAACTCAACCATCCAGAGTCTTGGAGATTATAAAACATGACTCCATAATATCAGGCTTAGGAGACATTAAGATGTTATAAAAGGTGACTCAAAATGAGTCTGACATTGTACAGCAACTCGCAGTTTTAATGCTGTGCCATAAGAGAAAGAAAATCATTTATAGACAGGACCACACTTCAAGAAGTCCAAGAATTATTATCACTTATGACAGTTTTATTACATGAAACTTGACAGAGAAAATGGCCATCTCTTCTAAACCATTTCTTCTCTTAACATTCTGCAAATAATCATATCTCATGCAGGTAAATACAATTCTCAACACTTATATGAGCATCCAATGATATTAAGTATATGGCAATATAAACTTTACCAGTATTTTAAAATAGCAGCAGTGAGAAGAGATTATTTTCAATGCCATATGTAGCCAGGAACAGTAATATGTGCCACTGGTTTATATCATAGTTCATATTTAAGGTACAAAGAAAATGCAGGTTTATACTTGCAAGTACTCTACCATAAAAAAGGAAAAACTTGAGTCATTGGTAGCTAAATGGATACACTTTGAAACCATAATATTAAGTGAAATAAATAAGACACACAATCTTAAATATTGTATGATTTTTATATAAGAATTAAAAAATAAAAATAAAACAAAACTAATTATGCACACTAGGAAGGAGGGAGATCTTTTCAAAATAGGAAAGAGATCAAGAAATAGAAGAACCGTGGAGGGAGAGGAGAGGTGGAAGATGTAAAAAGAATTAAGATGTGTTATGTACATGTACCAACTCCCCATACTAAAAGTAATAATTATGTACTTCTAACATGTACTAATAAATACAAATATTAAAAAATGAGTGTAAGAGATACACTTGTAGAAAGAACCTTTAAATGAAAGTCAAGAATATTTCGACAACATCATTAGAACTATACTGGATGTCATTAACTGATTGAATTTTTGTTTGTTTGACTTTTATACTGTGGATTGAACCCAAAGCCTTTCACTGAGCTACACCCAATGCCTTTTTCTCTTCCAAGTTTTGAGACAATGACTTGCTAAACTGCTAAATTTCCCAGGCTAGATTTGAACATGCAATTCTCCCAAAGTACTGATATTACAGGCCTGTTCCAACACTCCCAGTTTATTAGCTCTTCTGAAAATAGAAAATCTTAGTGAAGTATCCTAAAAAACATATTTGATCAATATATTATTATGATTCCTGATTAGCAAGCTACATTACATAGCAAAGTCAAATGGATTTGAAATGTAATATCTTCTCAAATCATTATTTTTTTCAAAACATTATTATCTCTCTCAATATGTTTTGTAGCATTTTAGGTAATGCTGGTGGATGATGCAAACTTTAGGGTTTTTTTATCTCAACTTGACACTTTGGGAGTAAACAGAGCATTAATTTTCTTGAAATTTGTAGATTATGAAAACTTTTCCTCCAGAATTTCTTGTTTAGTATTCTAAAATTCTACCCAATAACTTATGTCAATTGTTGAACTATTTTGGGGCTTCCTTGTTTTAGAAGGTGATGCTTTAATTGTAGTTCCATACTCTTTTTATTTCTAATTGCTGTTTTGTCACGAGGATAATTAAAAAGATGGCTTTTACAACAAAACAGAACTAAAAAATGTTGTCAACCTTGGAAGACTATTAACATGATCATTGTAAATAACTACAAAAATCATAGCAAAGTAGGTACAACATGGAAACTAAGAGAAATATAAAGCTAATATAAGTCAAAGAAAAGGTAGAGAGACAAAATATCGAAACCATTTAGAAGGGCCAGTAATTTAGCTCAGTGGTTCCGCCGCCTGCTCTGACAAGCTCAAGGTCCCTAGTTTCATCCCAGGTACAAAAAAAAAAAAAAAAAAATTAGAAAACATAGGAGAACAAAGGTTGGAGATAAAAGACATGTAAGGAGAATTCTGCCTTTAGGAAACACAGTTTTCTGCTGAATGATTTATTTATATACCTACTTCTAAAATTAACAGTGTCTATTCTAACTCTAGAGCCTGAAAAAAATGTTAGAATTGTCAAATTAAAAGTCAGTCGACCTCAGAAAATAAGTAACTTTATAAAACCTGACTGTGGTGTTTTATATGTATATGATTATTCTCTTTATTTATTGGAAAAAGAATTCAATGTTATCCACTTTAAAATATGTTATGTTAAAGTTAAGATCTTATGCTAACCAACACCTGGCTTTAAAAAATTCCCATCATCCAAATGATCACAGATTCCCACTGCTTGCAATATGTCTTTTACATTAAATAAATTAAACATGTGTACAACTGAATTAACTTTTTAATATATTCTATAATGTAGGATAGCCAGAAATGTTTTCGTGTTTCTTGAACTTATAAACCTAAGACAAATAAGATTTTGAAACATTTATACATATGCAGGAATATTATTTCTACCTTTCTAGCAGTTGATAAAGTGTTGAAGTAGAAGTAATTTTTAAGGAGTTTAAAAAGTCAGTCACAGTTGAAGCTTTTTAAAGGTTAACACTGTGCTTATAAAAGAGAATAAAATAACAGTGGTAAATAAATCCTCAAATCTTAATATAGCTATTAAAATTAACTGTATTATTGTCCAATTTTAAATTATCTGGTTATGCAACTTAATATTTCTATAATTTCTACATGTCACTAAACTGTACTTTCATAATTACTAGAATAGATTCTGGATCACGTAAATATCAAAAGGTGGCTCTAAAATTTTAAGAATTTATATAACTGTTCTGTGTGAAAACCATTGTAAAAATTGTCATAATTTTCTTACAAGATGACACATTTTTTGCACACAGGTTACACTTTGATTCATCATTTTCAGACAGAAATAATATATTTATTCTAGAGTATTATCTTTAAAGTGCAAATATTTTGTTACATTTTATTCTATAATAAAAAAGTAATTTTCAATTCCCTTCTCACTTATTATTTCCCTTTTTTTCCTCTCTTTCTCTTTTTCCCTTAGTATGATACTTTGCTTGCTCTTTTCTTTTTTTACCGTATTCAAATTCTACCTATCTTTAATATAAAATATCTGAACTGACCTTTCTCAAAAATTTTGGTCTGGGTAATAATAATTTTAACAATACTGTTCTCTTCTGTATATGTTTTTGTTATAATTATTAATCCTAAATAGATTTCCCCCAAATGGGTAAAAATGTTATTTTGCTAATTATTTGAAATTTCTTTTCTTTTCTTGTATGTATATCAATTTTTTGAATTTATTTTTATATTCATTAATAACATTTTGATTCCTTATATTACATCTACATTTACTGAATTATTTATTATATATTACATACTATTGTATATAGAAAATATTCAATGAACATTGAGTATTTTTCCAAAAACAAAATAATGGAATTAGTCTACCTATTTTACTTTCAAGTATAATTAAAATACTTAATGAATTAAGTTGTAGGTTCACAAAAGAAATAGTGTTCAAATAAATCCAAACTTGTTAAAAATGCTGCCTAGAGAAATTCACAGAGGGTCAACAGGAAGAATGAACTCCAGTGGTTTGGGTCTTTATGATGTGATGGTGTAGTTATATCCATTCATCAAACATGCCACTGGTGAGGAATGTGTTCAATAGAAAATCGACCTATGTCTTGGGCCCTGAGTACATGGGGAATATCCATATTGTCCAATATTTTTGCTATGTTCAACTATCGCTATATACTTCCTGGAAGAGTGTAAAAAATAAGTAAATCATACTAGATATAAACACTTTCAAATAAATCGTAAGAGCTCTGTTCACGAGGTAAACTTAACTATTTATAAAATTAAACAATACAATTTTTATTTGTTGTTTGAATTTCTACATTTAGTAAATCTAACCACTATAAATAAATGCAATACAATTTTTGTTTAATATGCTTAAATTTAAAGAAACACCTTGTATTAATTAATACTTTTGATACATAAGAAATTTTCTCTTACAATAAAAGAAAATTGAAATATGAATTGGAAGCAATTTTATAAAAATGTAAAACATTAAAGGGTAAAGCAACAATTAGTTTAGACAATAGAATCTTTACAGTGAAGAAGAATTAGGTATAAAACCATTTATGAGGTTCCTGAAAAGGTGTTTTCTATGCATTGTATTTTCCAATCATATTTAATATATTTCCCATCATATTCTTATAGATATATTTGAACTAATGAAAAAAGATAGAGATAAAACTCTAAATTATATATAAAACTTACATGCTTTGTGAAATTTTTGTTTAACATCATGAATGGTAGATGTTTGTCTCACCTGAAAAAAGATAAGAAAAATAGAAGGAACTATAAGTAAAATGTTAATAATTCTATTTTGTTAATGAATAAAACATTATAATATATATATAAAGCATATAAATATTACCAAATAGGCATAATTGTTTTGTTAGCTTTTAGTTAATACTGTTTTCATGAATTTGACATGTATAATTATTAAAACAAAATTTAAAGATATATATTTTATAGATAACAAAAACAATGCTATTATTTAAGTTCAAATTTTTAATTTTAAAACATATACTGGATTTTTTCAGTCCAAATATTCAGCTTCATTTATCAAAATTCATTAGACAATTAATTAAAAATATGACTCAATGCACAGCAAAGTAAAAAGATGTATGCCAAAGTGCCTGAGGGTGAAAAATTGATCTCTACAGGTATTGCAAGGAAATGCTTCAAAATATCCTGATATGGCCCTGCAGTGTGCTAGGAGAGTGAGCTGACACACGGGCCCGCCGGGTCGAGGGTATGGTCCTTCCGAACATCCTGATCACTGGTACACCAGGAGTTGGAAAAACCACACTAGGCAAAGAACTTGCATCCAGATCAGGACTAAAGTACATTAATGTGGGTGATGTAGCTCGAGAAAGGGCATTATATAATGGCCATGATGAAGAGTATGAGTGCCCCACTTTAGATGAAGAAAAAGTGGTTGATGAGTTAGAGAACCGAATGGCAGAAGGTGGAGTTATTGCTGACTACCATGGTTGTGATTTCTTTCCTGAACGATGGTTTCATGCAGTTATTGTGCTGAGAACAGATAACAGTATATTGTACCAAAGACTTGAAACAAGGGGTTATACTGAGAAGAACCTAGGAGACAATATCGAATGTGAGATTTTTCAAGTTCTTTTGAAGAGGCTATGTTATCATATAAGGAAGATATTGTGCACCAACTGCACAGCAATACGCCTGAAAAGCTAGAGGACAACATAAACCAGATTTTGAGATGGACTGAGAAGTGGGTCAAAGGTCACAACCCGTGCCTGGTCACCTGGTGGTGCCTCTTGGGCCACCTTGTAGACGTGGCCTCCAAGTATCTGTAAAAGCCAAAACTATGTGGAAGGCCCAGCAGGTATTTTTATGCCTAGGTTTCTCTTTCTCCATGAGAAAGTTAAACAATCACAAATATAATGAATACAATTATTATTAAGCATTTAAAATACGCATCAGTTGCTAAATAATAAATCTGATCAAATGGGAAAAAAAGAATGTCACGATATTAAAATCACTTACACAAACCACACAGCTATGTTATTAATACACCATCTAAATATTCTAAAGTTCCATTAAATTACATATAAAATGTATTATTTATTGTATTCTTTATGTACACATGAAATTTTTTCCAAACTTGGTTCTCAGCTGCTAAAACTGCTGCTTCTAAATTAGATTAAAATAGTTAAAAGAATGTTAATGATATACATTATAAAATTATTGAGGATGATGGTTCCAAGAAATCACCCTAAACCTTTGTAATACTTTTTGACTTTTCACAAAATTTGCAAATTGAAAATTTTCTTCACTTCTGATCCCTCTCCTTTGCTTATGAAAAACCCAGCCAATAACAAGCAGTTAAGAAAATAAATTTCCTTTCACTGAATATGCATAGATTATTGGTGAAATATATGATGAACATATATGTATATGTTTTATTGATCTATAATTTTGTTAAACAAAAATCTTCATATGACTACTTTAGAAGGAAAAGTTGAAAAAAAAATGCTTAGCACATAATAACTGTCCAGGAAGTTATTTTCAAAATATCATATTATATCCAATGTTTTATATATCCTAAAAATCTAAAAATGAATAAATTTATAGTCTCTTTAATGAGACTATAAATAATAGTGAATTTACATATTATATGTTTATTTATCATATGTTATGATTATTCATGTGAAAATTGTAAGATGTAAGCCTTGGAAAATGATATTCATTCTTGTTTGTGTTATGCTATAAGTAAATAATTTGACTTTAAATCATTATGTGAGTATGAAAAGTTTAAATCTTTGAAATATTTATAAATTTTGGGTAAATTAGATGTTAGTTAATATTTGAAAAAGCAATTTGTAGAGAAGGTGATGTATGTTTAAACTTGCACATATTATATTTCATTTGAATTTTGATTATTGACCTTGGACACATATCCATTACCGAAGTGTGATTTGTTTCAATGTTGTCCATTGTTTTATCTCAATATTATGTATTCATTTAGCCCTTTTATATGTTGCTTTCTGCTTCCTCTGACAGGGTAGCCAAACATCCACTATTTGTTTTCTATGGTAACAAATATTTGTCGATCAGTCATTTCAAGGGACACGTAGTTTGAACATAAATAATTTACATGATCAATAATCTTTCAATTACAGTTTGATTTATGTCCACCTAGCACATTATGAAACCACATTCTCTGGTGTTTAGATATTGTTAACTCAATCTATAAGGGCCTTGAAGACAATGACCTATTGCAATGGTTGATTCTGTTTCAACAGGTAATATAGTGCATACGTATAAGAAAATATTAAATAACTTTTGTGGAAGTCCAACATATAGCTGTGTGTATAGTAAGTTTAAGAGTACAAGATTGAAATTCTTTAATAAGATAGGTCAACTCTCACAAACACTTCACTATGGAAAAGCTATGGGCTTTTCCTTAAAGCACAATAATTTTAATCACAATCTAACATATGTATTTTTTCTCAAATTTGTATAGCTTTAATATTAAGATATTTTCCTGAAATTTATACATTGATAGGATTGTACTACAAACTCATAATAAAGAAATTTTAAAATTCCATTTGACTGTCACATTAGAAAAATGATGATTTGAAGAAATCTTTGACAACTGTCCCTTCAATGGCTTTTTCAGATAAAAAAAATTAACCACAGTGATACAAACATTTGCTCAGTTAGCCACAAAACTGTGCTTATCTGTTCATTCAGTGCTTTGGCTGTGCTCAAAGCATACAGAGTGGAAAATGTGGTAATTAACAGAGTATATACTACTTTCTGGTTGCTAAATTGAGGTCATACTGGGTTCTTCAGGAAGTTTATTTAGAATAAATTCTACTTTTTTGCCACTTTTTCAGCATTTTAATAAAGACAAACTATGCACAAGCACAAGGATCTGAGTTCGATCCCCGGTACCAAAAAAAAAAAAAAAAAAAAAGACAAACTATCATCAGAGTAATTTATTCATTTTCATAATCACAATTAATTTTTAGAAGTGGGAGAAATGAGTATTTCTATTTTGTGGAAACCACAAAATTCTCTTCATTATTGTTTATTTTTCATCAGAGGAAATTGATTTTGAAATAGTAAGTAGGCAAGGTAAATGACATTTTTTAGCTGAAGTAAAATTTTATCTCTATATTTTAACATGCAGTTAAGGTTAAATACATTATGCTTGTCCTTATGAGGTCTGTTTTATATAAAACTTATTTTTATACCATCACTACTTTGCAGAAGTATATCTTAGGCATTTCTTTGGAAATCCTGACTGAAAAAGTACTTGCACTTTTTAAGGATACAACAAGCACTAACCTAGGAAATAATGCTTTAAAGTCGATTAGTGAGAAAAGTGGAAAAATTACATTTGAGAAATTCCATTGAAAGGTTTTATGTTAGCCAACAAGATATAAAGTTGAAATTTCTTTTAGACTGCACAGGAGTTTCCTGAGTAAGCAAATCATATTTCAGTACTAGGAAATCTTTCTAATTGTAACTAAAATATTAAAAAAGCAACCTATGTGAAATGATTTTTATAAATTTAGAACATGTTTGGGTATATGATAGAATAGCAAGAATTTTTATTATGAATAAAATTGACCCCTACAGATTAATGTTTTAAAAGGTTTAATTTTAAAGTTTGACTGTATTTTCTTATTCAAGAAATTACAAATTTTTGTATTATATTAATTTTATTTCTTTATATATTAAAATGACTCATTTAGAGATTTTAAGGTTAAAATAATATATCTACATAACGGTACATGTTTTTATAATACAACATTTATTGGTACATTTTAGGCATACATAAATCATAACACTCATCATAAGGAATTTGCATCTGTACATGGTACATCCCGCCCCTTTTTTCCCCATTCTCCCCCTCCCCTCAAATCCCCTCTCTCCCCTAGGGACTAAAGCTTTGTTTCCATTTTTTCCTTCTATTTTCACATTTTTAATCTCCCTTCCTTCCTTTCTCCCTCTCTCTTCCCTTGTTCTTCTTCCCATTTGAACATTTTCTTCCCATTTCCCGGTAGCTATAATACATTTTAGTCCTTATTTCGACTTCTGGTTTCTCACACCAGAGGGAAAAAAGGTAATATTTAAACATGTGTGTCCTATTTATTTCACTTAAGAGTATGGTCTCATGGTCCATCCATTTAACTATAAATGTCTGAAACTCGTTCTTCTTAATGCAGAGTAGTATTCCATCATATATTGAAAAAAAAAAAAAAAACACATCTTCTTTAGCCACTCATCAGTTGATGTACATTTGAGCTGTTTCCAAGATTTAGCTATTACAAACTGTGGTGCTATACACATGGGTGTCCATATATCTTTGTGATATGATACTTTTAATTCTTTTGTGAAGATATAAAGAAGAGGTATAGCTGGGTGAAATGGAATCTCTAGTTTCAGTTTTTGGAGAAACCTCCACACGGATTTCCACATTGGTTGCACCAGTCTACATTCTCACCAACAGTGGAAAAGGGTTCCGTTTTCCTCACATCCCAGGCAACATTTGTTATTGGTTGATTTTTTGATAGCAGCCATTCTTTCTAGAGTGAGATGGAATCTCCGCGTTGTTTTAATTTGCATTTCCTGAATTACCAGTGATGTTGAACATTTTTTCATGTATTTATTTACTGTTCCTATTTCTTTATCTGAGAAATGTCTTTTCATTTCAGATGCCCATGTTTGGATTGGATCTTTAAATTTGAGGGGTCTGATTTTTAAAATTTCTTT